ACTTATTTCATGTTATTTGCATGTTCATTCCTAGGTGTGTATCTACACATGCACTTCAATGAACATTCTATTTTAGAATAATTTTAGGCTTACTGAAAAGTTACAAAGATAGAGTACCCCTGTGTACTCACCTACATTGCCTGTTGTTACTCACCTACATTGCCTGTTGTTAACATTTTATTAACATGGTTAATTTCTCACCTCCACTACTAGTTATTAAACTCCCAACTGTATTTGGATTTCACCTTTCCACTTGTGTCCTTTATCTGGTCCAAGATCCTCTCTAGGAAGCCACCTGACATATACTTACCATACTTACCATATTTGTCTGCTCTGGTTTGGGACAATTTCTTAAAAAAAAAAAAAAGATCCTGGCAGTACTGGTCAGATATTTTGTAGAACAGGGAGTAGCACAGTGGTGAAATACCTTTGTCATCACATCATATCAGGGACACATGACATCACTGATGATAAATCAGGATCACCTGGCCAAGGTAGTATTTGCCAGATTTCTCTACTGATTGATTTTCTTCTTTATTCCTTAGAAGCAAGTAACAAAGTTGAGCCCACATTTAAGGTGGGAAAAGGAATGAAATCCACTTTCTAAAACAGAAAATGACCACATAAGTTGTTTGAAATTCTTCTGGAAGAAAGGTTTGTCTGTTCTCCCACACTTTTCTATTCAATCTTTATTTACATCAGCATAAATGCATGGATATTTGTTAGGGGTCAAAACTCAATACTATGTAATTTATTCTGTAACTCAAAATTGCAGCTGTCACTACTAGTAACTTTTTCAGGCTGCTCCTGTGGCCTTTGACCTGCCATCTTCCTTTTGTTTCTCGGAGCATTTCCTTTGCATATTTTTCACTGAAAGAAAAGGAAATTACACAGTATTTTAATGTGTCTTTGAAACATAGTTAAAAGAATATACATTCTTTTTTATTATTTCGTGATTTTTATTAATGAAACTGCCATTACCATATTTTAAGTGCTGGGGAGTATAGTCCAGGGGTAAAATGTTTGCTTAGCATACTGAAAGCCTTGGATTTGATCCTCAGCACTGCAAAGAAGAAAAAACTTTTTTTTTTTTTTTTAAAGTTATGTAGTATTTACCAGATACATGGCAGAATACCTTAAAAACAGCTGTTTGGAATCAGACTATGTGTCCTTGCTCCTACACTGAATCTTCCTAAACCTCAAGATTCTCATCTGTAATCTAGGGGAAATAATAGTATTTTTTTTCTTTTATGTGACTGTGTGTGTGTGTGTGTGTGTGTGTGTGTGTGTTGCTGGGGATTGAACCTAGGTCCTTGTGCATGTGAGGCAAGCACTCTACCAACTGAGCTGTAGCCCCAGCCCTAAAAATGTTTTTGACGGGCTTCTGTGAGGACTTCAAAGGGCAACATAGAATAAAGATCAAGGACCCTGGAAATAGTCTGGCCCTGCCACTGCTTAGTTGTGAAGCCCTGGGCAAATACTCAATTCTCTGTGCCTTAGGTTCCTCTATAAAATAGAGGTGGCAGAGAGGACTTAGCTTGTTGTAGGACCAAATGTGTTCAGTGGTGCTGTTTGGTCAACACAGGTGCTTAGCATCAGCTATTATAACTGACCCCAAAAGAACCTCCAGGGCAAGGGTTATAATCTAAAATTAATATTATAATCTTGTATCCTTAGCTCAGTGGCACACGTATGGTGGTGAAGCATTTACTAACCCTGTGTAAACACAGCTAATATCATTACCACTACTGACGTGGCAAATGTGTGACAGAGCGTGGCACACTCAAACCATTATACAAATATAAACAAAAGCAGAACTACACCTTCAAATTATCCAGAGTTCAAATACCACCTAGAATTCAGCATTCTACAGAAAGGAACTTATGGGAACTTGGATTGTGATTGAGTAATGTACTCCTCTCCAATGCATATAAGATGTACAGGTGTCAAGTTTGGCCAACAACACCTGCCCTATTTCCTTTGTGTGGCTGTGGTAGACACCCTTAGGATTGCTTCTTTCTTGGCAGTGGAAAGAATTTGGGTCCTGTAGTAAGACAGAACAGAAGTCTGGCCCAGTCACAGACTAGTTGTTTCACCTCAGGCAAACTTTTCTTCCTCCCTGTGTTCATTTCCACAGTCCAAAACTGAGTTTCCCTATGTTGCAGGATTTGCACATGTGATGTGTGGTCCTTGGGATCAAAGGTAGGGCCTCATACATACCAGGCCAGCACTCTACCACTTAGCTCTAGCCCCAGATCCATACTGCAGGAGTTTTAAAAGGATTACATGAGAAAATACATGGAAAAGCTTTTAGTCCAGTCTGCCAGGAAAAGGTATGCTGTGTTTCTTTCTTTCCTTTCTCTCTCCAAATTCAATACACTGAAGTCTCTGGATCTATACTTGTCCTATGTGTGTAGTCTTGTTTCATTCTATTGTGTTATGGCTTTAGAAGATTACTCTGGGAATCTCACTTAGAAAAAGAGTGGCACCAACAGGAAAGAGTTCAAAGAATTAGGTTTGCATAACTAAGTCTGTGGTTTTCAAATTCATACTTTATGAACAGTTGGTTTACATGAAATCTCTTTTAGAACCTTAATGTAAAGAAAAAAGATTAAAGATATTTTATTAGCATTCCTTTATATTTTCACACCTATACTTTTATAACAATCATGAAAACAATATTCAGAACAATTGATGCTTTGATAACACATATCAGAAATCTGGCATTAAAGATGGCTGTTGCAGACTTATCAACCTCAGCATTCAGCTCTGCCTTTTGATTGCACAGAATCAATGATTTGTGATTTGCACAGAAAATAACTTAATATCTTAACCATAGCTCTTTGTTAAAAGGAGCTCAACCAATGTTCCTCTTTTATCATGCAGGACAATATACACACCTAAAAATCATTGAGGGCACACATGTGACATGCTACACTTGCACCTGCTACCAAACAAGCAGAATTCTCAGTGAGATCTGGTTTGCATATGCCACCTCCCAGCACTGTACACAAGACAGACCTTTTGTACAAATTTACATGACAATAAAAATCACAGGGGTGACACATTTAAGGAATATTAAATAGGCATGGAAATGACAAACGGTTTACACTGAGAACAGAATGAGTTACTTGACAACCAAGGTGGGGATTGGTTAGTGTCTATCACTGGAGTATGTGGACTCATCTACCTCCAAGCTCTGCTTATTGCCAGACATTCCTCTGCTCTCCTGGGATTCAGGTGAAATGCCCTTCTAACCCCCTCTGGAGAAAGGCTGCCTCCTCCTCAGCTGCCTCCTTATCCTTTATCAGTGCCAGTAACTGCAGTAAGCCTGGAGCTGGACCATCCTCTGGCAGATCAAGCTGTCTGCGAACTGTTCTGTGAATCGCCCCAGCGATGATTTGCTCTAGGCGGGCCTGATTCACATCACCCTTCTCTATTGCTCCTCTCTGTACTAGTTTCTGTAATAAAGGCTCTAGCCTTAGTACATAAGCAGACAACTTTTCTTTATCCTTCTGGTAAGTGTTTAGATATTTGACCTGCAACTCCCTAGGATTATCAGTAACCCCAAATACTGTCTCAAGAGCCTGAAGGCATTCATTGGCTTTAATTAAAGGATTATTTATCTTGAGGATACGAATAATATCAAATGCTGGGCCACGAAGGCTCTCTATCAATCGCCTTCTCTTTTCTGTATCAGACACCTGCCATGTCTTCATCATCTGAGTAGTATGAAACAGCCATGATCCAAATTCTTCTTCCCCTGGTTCTGGAGGATCCCTGCCTGAGAACAGTCTCAATTTTTTATAATTTAGGTATTGGAGGGCAGGCTGAAGAGCCTCATCTAATGCCTGTGTCAACATAGCTGCCTGCATTTCAGGGATCATGCCCTGGTCAAAAGGGTTATGTCCACACCCAAGAACTCTGGTCAACTCACCCACTGTCATGCCCTCTTCTTCTAAAAACTCATTTAATTTCCTTAAAAATTCATTATCCGGTTCTGGCGGCTTAAAGATCACTCTCCACACACCCCCTCTCCCCGGTATCTCCTTAGGAACCATATCATGACTTGTCTCCTCAGTAAGGCCTATTAAGGCTACGTTCCTGTTCTCATCCCTTCTGAACATCCTCCCTACCAGTCTGTACTCCCCCAAAGGAGCCAGACCAGCCCGTAGAGCCTCCTCGATTTCGGCCACACCACAGGTCTGAGGGATGCCGGTAATCAATAGCGCTTTCCGAGGGTTCATATCCATCCCCCTGCACCAGTCTTCTAAAAGCCTCAGGGCCATCGTGCCCGAAATCACAGATTTAAGTTCTAATTCTTCCGAAGCGCGTGTGCCCACCGCAATTCTCAGTAATCCTGCGCAGTACCCCACGCAGGTCTGGTCAACGTGCCGAGGTCCAGCAGCCTGCGGGGATAGGAGCCAGATCAGTTAGGGGTGTCTGCGTCTGGGGCCCAAGTGCAGGTCCCCGCGAGCCCGCTGCCGCGCTCTGCTGCAAGCAGCCCCTCCTTTCTCCCGCCTCTCCCGCCCCTCTGGGCCAGTGAAGCGGCTCGCCATCCCACCTGCCCTCACCGTTATCTACTGGGATGCCTGCGCCGTCTGCGGGGGGCCGAGACGCTAGGCCCGCTCCCGACCGGGAGCAGGAGTGCGGGCGTGCTCGGTTCTGACCGACGCTCGGGAGGCGCGCCGGCCACCGGCAGTGGATGCCGAACCGCCCTGCCTCTGCCCTGCTCTCCGCAGCGAGGAGTGACGAGGCGCGACGAGGCGCTCAGTTGTGACCTAGGCACCGCAGAGGAGGCGCGGAGCACGCGAGGCGCCAGACCAGACCCTCGCCCTCGGCGCCGCGGTGTCAGCCCTGGCCCAGCTGCGGCTGTCTAGGGCGCACTCTGGCAGGTCGAGCCGCGCGCGGAGGCGCACTGACATCACGAAGGCGGGTCTGGGGAGGCGGGGCGCGCGCGCTTCCGGCCCAAGCCGGAAGCCCCAACTGCGGCGGCATCCGGGACGGCGGGCGGGAGGGCCACCCGGGACAGGAAGGTGAGAGCCGGGACCTGCTCAGCTTTGCAGGCTGTCTCGGACGGCGGCCGCTGCTGGGCGCCGGACTCGCGGCGCTGCAGGTTGGCGAGGCACGGCCTGGCGCTGCCTGTGCAGCCCGGGAGCGGCGGGCGGGCGAGAGCTGCAGGGGGCGGGGCCGACGCCAGGGAGGCCCCAGTGGCCCGGGAGCCTCCCGGCCGGCCGGGTGACCAGCCCTGCTCTGCCCGAGGCGGCAGGGGCCGGGCCGCCGCGTGACTACCCGTAGTCACGCTGTACTTAATCACTGTTAGCTTGTGCTCCAGGCTGGCGGCGCTCACCTTTCTCCCCGAACCGGGTGACCCAGGGAATTTCTTTTATGGTGGCTTGTTCTGAAATGCCAAAACCACCCGATTATTCAGAACTGAGTGACTCTTTAACGCTTGCCGTGGGAACAGGAAGATTTTCGGGACCACTGTAAGTGTTTAAGAGTTACTATCGTAACTTGGGGGCTCCGATGTTGGCATAATCTGTAGAACCCAATTTTCAGATTTGAAGCAATACTGTTAAGCCAGAAAGCATTTCAACTGTAAAAGCGAAATGTCCCGTAGGAAATTGGCTTACTTACAGTTTCTGAAGTGAAGGTGTACAGGACCTATTTAAGCAGATGTAATTATTTATTATGTGTAATTCACATAAAAAGCATGTTTTTTACTTGCAACTACTACATAGAACAGCCACCTGTAGGTTATGTACATTTCTTATGAAATTTATTTTGAATATTAGTGGGGTATTTTAGAGCTCTTGGAAATAAAGCAAATACATTTGGAATAGTTGCCATAGAAGCATTACTAGACCCTAACTGTTTTTTCATTTTTTACTTTGAAGGCACAGAGCATGGAGAATGATGAACTTCCGTCAGCGGATGGGGTGGATCGGAGTGGGACTGTATCTGTTAGCAAGTGCAGCAGCATTTTACTATGTTTTTGAAATCAATGAGACTTACAACAGGCTGGCTTTGGAGCACATTCAACAGCACCCAGAGGAGCCTGGTGAAGGAACCACATGGACACACTCCTTGAAAGTTCGCTTACTCTCCCTGCCTTTTTGGTTGTGGACAATTATTTTTCTGATACCTTACTTACAGATGTTTTTGTTCCTTTATTCTTGTACAAGAGCTGATCCCAAAACTGTGGGCTACTGTATCATCCCCATATGCTTGGCAGTTATTTGCAATCGCCACCAAGCATTTGTCAAGGCTTCTAATCAGATCAGCAGACTACAACTGATTGACACATAAAATCAGTTATTGGTTTTTCTTTATGATTATGAAACTGCCAGTACATTATGGAGTCTGATCACAAGAATGCGATTTCTTCACAGATCTCAGGAAGTTGTGGTGCGACAGAGGCTTTTTAAAAATGTGACTAAGGGACGATCTTTATCTGAATAATAATGATTTTTTTAGGTAAAGCCTGAGATATAGTACCACAGAATCATGTTGATGACTTCAGGTTTTGCAAGTAAAATTGTGTCTTGTTATTTGTATTCTTTAGAAACTTGAATAAGTACCTGAACTCATTTCTCTTATACTGTGCAGCATAGTGACAATTGAGAAAATTTTCCTTTGGGGAAAAAAGTGAATATGAACATTTCCATTGTGTTAAGTGTAAAAAGGTCCAAATATGATCATAAAATTTAAATTTTATACAATTACATGGCTTGCTTTAAGATTCTTAAAACACACACTAATCCATCCTTCTGTAGATAAGCTTATGCTTGCTTGCTTTCAGTTTGAGGAAGTGGTATAAAACTATTGAAATAACTATGGTTTATTAATTTTGGTGTTAGGGATTGAACCCAGGGTCTGTCTGGTACTTGCAAGTACATATGCTGCTACTGGCCTATATCCCCCAGCTATGATGCCTGTCTTGATAAGCAGAATTTGTTCTGGATAATGCCTGGCTAAATCATTTAAAAATTTTGTTTTAGTTGTAGATGGACACGATTTCTTTATTTTGTTCCTTTATTTTTATGTGGTGCTGAGGATCAAGCCCAGTGCCTCATACATGCGATGTAAGCACACTCTACTGCAGCTACAACCCCAGCCCCGCTGGCTAAATCATTATTAATGTTCCTGGTTTTAAAAAAATTTGGGCTGAGTATAGTGGTGTGTATCTATAATCCCAGTAACTGGAAGAGTCAGACAAGAGGATCACAAGTTCCAGGCCAGCCTCGGCAACTTAAGCAATTTAGTGAGATCCTCATCTCAAAATAAAAAACTTAAAAAAAAAAAAAAGGCTGGGGATGTGGCTCAGTAGTAAAGCACTTCTGGATTCAATCTCCAGTATCAAAATAGTAATAATAGTAATATCTACTTGGGAAGAGACTAAATGTTTTAAAGTCTAGAAATAACTTACACAGAAGATGTGAATAGGTAAAGGTAATTTAATCTAGTCCTTCAGATGTGATGCCCTTCTAAAGTCCACTATCCTGTCATCCTGATTTTTTCGCCCACAGCAATTGCATGAGGATGTGATTCTTGTACCTCCTCTCCTTTGCATTTATATTACCTTGTGTCAGGTACCAATACAAACAACTAAAGAAATAAAAGTTGTTTTTTTTTTTTTTTCTGGGTAAGGTCAGGATATGTAGTTACGTTAACACTAGGACATATTTTACACTATTTTGGTAATAATCATAACCTTTTTTTGGGGTGCTTACTCTGAAGATCTGATTGAAGAGCTTTCCATGAATTAACTCCTATATCACAACTCCTTTGAGATGGCAGTTATTTTCCAAGTTTTACTGATGGCAAACTGAGGCAGGAGTTAACTAACTTGCCAAAATTTGGCATTCTGATAACTTTGTGTTTAACCGCTAAGCTATAGTGCTTTTCACAGATGATAAATGTTTTTAGTACTGTTACTGTTTGCCCAGTCATGCCAAAGAATGGAAATGGCAATATTAGTGAGAAAAGTTTTCTCAGTTTATATAAGCTACTGAAAATAAAGTTTCTTAGCAATTTGACCTTTATGTCACATTTGAGCCACAAGGAAGGTTGAGCATTCCACAGCAAACTTTTATCTAAAAGATAAATCAGGTACCTTTGTAACTCAAAAGCACCAGAATCTCCCTTACCACCTCCAAAGGTCCAGTTACTGATGTTTCTTGACATAATACACTCAATCCAAACAATCGGCAGTTGAAAATACCTATTAGATAATAAAAATCTAGCATCTTTTCTTTTTGCAGTACTGGGCTTGAACATTTGCATATATTGAGTACTCGATATGCATGCTGCAGCCACTGTTTTCTGTTTCTTCACTTATAATCTTATGAGGCAGGTATTGCATTGGTAGTAATACCATTTACAGAGGAGGAAATTTGATGCACATAGGAATTAATAATCTGTCCATGGTCACACAGCAAGTGGAAAGAGTCAGGATTTGAATCCAGGATGTTTACATTCAGATCTCCAGGTTTTTAATCATTCCACTTAACTACTTCTCAAAAAAGGAAAATTTGAAGAAAATCATTGGGAAATTTCCTGCTTTATTAGTCTGGATGCAGTGTTAATTTGGAGATGACCTTAGAAAATTATTTCAATTGCTTTTTGTCTTATAAATGCTTTATGTACTGCCACTTGTGAAAAGGCAATTCCTTTTTATTGAAGTAGATTTTATCTAATTTTGGAATTTTAAGCTTTAGTAAGTAAAGGTTCAGTCCATCTGTATCAACATCATATTGCCTTGATCACAGGAATATGAATTAATAGTAAGATTGGTGTAGTTTTTCCAAATATAATTACAAAATTCTAGATTCCAGGGTTAGTCTGCTTTATTATTTAAGAATTCCTTATAATTAACCTGGCTTTTTATAGCTACGTTCAAAACATCTTTGGTAGGGTGAAAAGGAGGATTGAGGAAGAGATTGAAATTAATAGATACGAGACTTTGGAACCACAACCCCAGCCCCTAGATTATCCTTTATTTCTATTCATTTCACAATATGAAAGGCAATATGAAATCCTGAATACAGGATTATGTAGTGAGTTGGATGGTAAATAATATTAATTGCTGCAGGGATTTAGGGAAGGGCGGATATCCTAGGATCCATAACTTCTAATTATTTGCTTCCAGATATGAGAAAAACAGAGCTATATTCCACAAGGATTTCATGTCATTTCATTTGCAACTACATCTGAGATGAAATGATCCTGAAACATGTCAGATATATATATATATTTTTCAAAAGTACTAGTATAAGAAATAGATAATTGCAGAAATATATAATTCATGGTGCTTTAGTCAACATTTAAATTTTCTGACTTTGAAATGACTTTAGGGATGGGGTTGTAGCTC